AGCATTGTTCCGTTGTTCAGACAATGGAACAATGCTCTTCTCCAGACTGAGGGACTGACCACCTCAAAACTTTAAGGGTGATGGACTGATTACATCGTCTTCAAGTATCTTCTGCTTCTATCAACTTTTCTGTACTCGACTGAAGAAGCCTACTGTGTAGGCGAAACGTTTCGAAATAAAGATACCTAACTGTTGCATATGTGTCTTACCTAACAGGTAATGAAAGACTGGAAGGAGGGAGTATTGAGGAAGTGAATGTGTTCAGATATCTGGGAGTGAACTGGTATGCGGGCTGACAAAGTTAGTTATGCATAGAGAGAAAAAAAAGAGGGGGGAATGTATCAGTATATATAGTTTTTAATGTGTCAGTATACATGTTTTTCAAACGTTGCAGCGAGGAAGTTGGAGGTAATGGAGATGTCTAAGGGCAATGTATAGTGTGAATACTATGAAGAGAATTCGTATTTTGGAGATTTGGTGTGGAGTTACTAAAAGTATTATCCAGAGGGCTGAGAATGGATTACTGGACACGGAGACTGAACAAAATAAGTTGACTTGGGTGTTTAAATCAGTAGTGGAGGAAGGAACTGTAGGGGCCGTCCTAGGAATGGTTGGAGGGTATAAATAAGGTTCCGTATGAGGGGCCTGGACACCCAACAGGCGTCGTGAGCGTGTTAAACAAGCGTCGAGGCAAGTGGGTTTTATGACTACCTGCTGTTGAAGTATGATCAAAGTAATATTTATGAAGATATTCAGGGAAATAGGTTAGCCGCACTTGAGCCCGGGAGGTGGTGAGTACAGTGCTTGTACTCTGGAGGGGTGGGCATATCGCAGTTCGGAGGAGCTCTAAAAAGAGATTGGACAAATGAGTGGGAGAGGCTGAGTTTGATTGGTGTCGTGGGTACGGGAGTTAATTCTTGGGTAGCTTTGAGTAGTGGTGATTTTGATAAGGACCTGACTTGTATGGACCAGTAGGCCTCCTGCAGTGTTCCTCCATTCTTATGTTAACTGAGCTGTAATACCGCACCTTTGGCAAGACGGTGATGGAGTGATGGTGTGTCCTCTTTCTCGGGTAATCCTACTTCGGTAGGAGACGACTGGTGTCAGAAGTCAGAAATTTGCCCGCACACTAAATTAATGGGAGATGCATTAGCCATTAAATATCGAAGCCGCTGGAATTCATTACTTGAGTATTTACCACTACATCAACGTTATTAGTCCTAGAGAGAAAGATATACACCCGTACATTAAGCAAGAGCAATCATGCAACACAGCACTAGATCAATGCCTAATTAGTCTGGCCGCATGCTCAGCATATAAAGGACAGGTAACAGCCTTAACACACACTGGGTTAAGTCGCTTGTTACACTCAACTAATAAATCATATTTAGCAAAATTTTACTGATAAATTAGACATGTGCAACTCTTGGGTATCTTTATTGAGAAAACGTTTCGCCACAGTGGCTTCATCAGTCCATACAAAGGAGAATCTTGAAGAACAGGAGGAGAATGAGGTAATCAGTCCCTCAACCTTGAGTCGATGTGGTCAGTCCATCAATCTTGAATAGAATACAGCACATGTCTGGAGAAGCAGCTTATAAACCGTAGGCAGGAGAGGTGCAGCAGTCGTAGGTGGTGTTACATTTGTTCAATGTGGAAGTAGATCGTGCCCAAGGGTTAGGCAAGCGAAGAATTCCCAAGTATTAAGATCCCAAGAAGTTGCAGTGTGACAGGATTGTAGATGAATGGTTCAGAGGACCGACACGTTGATAAATTATACATGTGCAACTCTTGGGTATCTTTATTGGGAAACACGCCTGCTAGATGCTCGAGCTCCTACTACTTAAAACTTCTACACCAACTCCTCATGGGACGACCCCCACCCATTCTACCACCTACCTACGATTTATACACCCTTTCGGTCAATCCTATTCTCTTCCAGTCTCTAAATGCCCAAACACAGCAAAAACCCTCCCGAGTTATACCTCTCGTAACTTCACAATGTCTAATTACTACCAAATGCTTTCCATAATGCCCACGTGACAGTTCACAAACATGACAGGTCTGCGGCTTCCAGCCTTCACGCTGCAATATTTGAAGCTCACACCTCACACATTAAACATTGTTGATACACTGTACTCATGGTACATGCTCTTTTTTTCTGCCGCCATAGAAAAAACTTTCAACAGATGCTTCAACAGCCAACACTCCACCTACCTTTTCCCATTATCTGTTGCATGGTACGCCTCGTTTTCTATACACATCTGCCGACTCGTTCACGCCCTAATATCAAAATACATTCAATTCCACCATACTCCCTCCTTCCAATTTATCCAGTTTTCATTGCATAAACTATTATTTTTCATCACCATGTTCTTCTTTGTTCATTTATTTTTTAATTTCATCCAAGTACATAATAGCCTAAACTCCCCCAGCAACCTTTGCAACTTCTCCCAAAAGAAGAGTCATCCTCAAAATGAATAACCCTGACAATTCCCATATTGCATCAGATTCATCATCATAATCTCACGTTCCCAACACCCTACCATTCACTTTTTACTACATCATCTACAATTATATTAATCATGGTGACATTGCAAATCTCTTGGAAAGTAGTCCTTCTCACCTACATAACCTGAGTTTCACTCTCGTTAACATTCTTTATAATAGCCTATTCCATACACTTGAAACCTCTACCGAATTTCTGCTACCCATCCTTCTGCCTTCTCTAAGTCCACAAAAGCGCCAAATGTCTTTGTACTGCTCACTTGTATTTTTCAATGTAAACACTTAGTCTACACATCCCCTAACCTTCCAAAATCCTCATCGTTCCTCAGCAATCCCACCCCTATCTCTTTCAAAAAGAATTCTGCTCTAAAAGTTACCCGGAATACTCGAAAGACTTATTTCCTTATAATTCTTCTGTCTCTTTCCTTCCCCCCCTCCCCCTACATCTACCCACCTACACAGAAATTATGTATGCTCTGCTAATTCTTAGATACCTTCCTTCTCTCGTGTATATACTGTATTTAACATACACCAACTACTCCTAATCCACTGCCTCAAGCATTATTTTCAATCCACTCTGGTTCATGACGCCTGCCAGATTATAATTATAATAATGGGGAGCGCTAAACCCGTAGGATTATACAGCGTATGTGGGGGGATGGAAGGTATTCAGGCTCAATTCAGGGAACCGGAGCAGATCCAATTCCCTAGATCAAGAGCCCCTCACTAAAATCAAGAAACCTTCCTTGAGGGGTACGCCTGCCAGATATTATTCCTCCCTGCCCAAATGCATGATATCACTGCCTCTGTCATCATTTAGTAACGCTTCAAGATTCTCTGGATTTTTTTTCGGTCCTTTCCTCTCTGTCTCCCTTTAATTTTAAACTACCCAGTCAACTTAGTTTCCAGGCTCTCAGTTTATTCAGTTCAGATACCTGGGTGTTAGCAGGCTGTTAAATGTTTCATTTTTGAGGTGGTGTATAACTTACATAGGCCTGGCCTTGGAGATGAGCTGCAGCAGGATAACTGCCCCTGTCAGTTAATTTCATATACGAAGAATGTAAACATACTGGGTGGGGTACGCCTTATTAGAAAGATGGGGAGCCGTATAGCGAGTTTTGGTCATAATTTGAAATTACCGTATTAGCAGAACGTCTTAAGTCGAAACGCCGTAAAGCGGGGCCCTACTGTATAAGGCCCTTGACACTGTCGATTCCCACAGGATGGGTATGGGGGGGCATAATAAAGATATTAAACAACACTGTCCATTTAACAAGACAAACGAACCTACAATTTTAATTATATGGTGATGAATCAATCTTGTTCCATATTTTTAACAGGTAAAGCATTACTTCATTTATATTTCTACACCATGCAACCAAGCAATGGTTATATACTTTTTTTTTTTTGCGGCTATGTGGACGAAGAATTATCAAGAGATTACGTGCTCCACTTTGCCCTACACAAAATAAAACTGCTCCTTACCCCTCAAGTAAAAAAAGTGTTCCTCGCAAACTATTCTCAAGTTATCTAAAAAAAAAAAAAAATTAGCTGGTTTCACCAGCTTACTTCACAGTGATCCCTACCATCAGTTCCACCGAGGCCATGCAGCAATCATGTGTACAGGTAACGTCATGCATCTTTCATCATGTTCGTGAATAAATTTACTCAAGCGTTCGTAGAGGCCTGTGCACACAGTTACCAAGACATCTTGCAATCGTAATTTGTTAAGACTTGAGACTCTCGCTACAATCCATGTTTAAAACGCCAAAGTAAAAAATCAGCTTCGACCATTACTGTACTACTGTGATCGAGTTTTACAGGTCAACAAAGCATTTTCTGCATTAAGAAATGAAACTTCAGCCACTTGGTATTATCTCCTTAATGGCAAACCCAAATATTCACTAAAACAATACACGGAATAAGTATATTTTAATACATATATAACCATGAACAAACGATAAATTCAAATATTTCACTTCTCGATGATTAAGGTTTTAGATAAAATAGCTAAAATTCATGGATAAATAAGAGGTTTAAAAACAACACTAACAGATCTTCATGCAGCAACACCTAGGAGAGATTAGGGCGCCACCTAGGAAAGGTTTGGTTAGAAGGGTTGATTAGGTTCGCTATATTGGATAGGTTAGATTTGGCTAAACTTGTCCAGGTTAGTCTGTGCAGGCTGTCAACCCTAAACTTTCTTCTGTAATGCACTCGTCGTTGTGAGGATAGGACATTGATTTATCATATATCTTTACTATATGAAGAACATAGTAGTATCAACAGGGCGATATGAACATCCATGCAACATCAATAGGGCGATATGAAGCCAAGTACCATCAGCAGGGTGAAATGAAGCCAAGCAGCATCAGCAAGGTATGAACAGTCGGGCAGCATCAATAGGATATAAACAGCCACTCGGCATGGGAAAGGTTATGAAGCGGGAGTGAGCAACAAGAGGCAACAACACAGTAGTGTAGGACACTTGCCTTGCGGTCCAGGGTGGTGGTGTCAGTCTTGGGGCCACCGTCACACACCTGCAACAACCCACCAAGTTACTACCTCCACAAGCAACAGCACTCACCTGCCGACCTCGCCTGCTCACATTATGTACATTGTATTATATTCATGGAGAACTGCTAAACCCGCAGGAGTCATGTTGAGCCTGGGAAAGGGGGGATGGTAATCGAGAGCCCTTCACCAGCTTAAAGGTATCCCATTAAATGAATATGGGAATACACACGTTATTTTATCATTATATTTACAATTACCTCGTCGAATGTCGCTAGATTCTCATGGCTAACTAGTCATTACATAACCAGAAGGTCCAATGTATATTATGTACATAAACAAGGAAGTGACAGGACTATAATTACACTATTTTGATTTAGGTGACAATTTCATGATGGAAAGAGTCTGCTGTATTTACAAAGAACTTTAACCTATGGAAAACATTCAACACAAAAAGTCGTCACAAGTTTTATTCTCTATGTGCGGGTTATTTGTGTATTGTTCCAGTCACGGTATTGTGCCTTTATGTTCTTTAAACAAAAGAATAATATACAATCTCACACAATAACACTCCCAAGAGAAAAAAACAAATTCGTTAACATTAACAAAAAATTACACAACTATAAGAACAATTAAAATCAAGGTCAAAGAACACCTAAAAATTTCCCCCAGATACCTCAGTAATAGTAACATCCACGACTCTGAGGAAAGACAGGCTCAAGCCGCGGGTGAACACTTAAAAATGTTCCCCATAATCAGCAGCATACCAGAAGTCTCACGGGCAGGAGTACCTGCAAACTGATGCCTGAAGCGTCACACACGTACGAACACCTGCGAAGAGGTGCTTCAATTTAAAGAATCTTCTCCATGAATTATAAAAATTCAAATTGTACGTTTGGGAAAGCGCTAAATCCACAGGGAGCTAAACAGCGGCTGGGGAATGGGAGCAATTTAGATCAAAGTGAAGGATAGCTCTAATTCCTTGAATCAAGAGCCCTTTACTGACTTAGGGCACCTTTCCTTGAAGGGTCATTTAGAATTAGTTAAAGCAAATTCTACGTTTTACAGAATCTTGTACAGTTTGATGCTAGTCTAAGGCCCTGCAACACTATCATTTACACGTTAAATTACCATGAACTCTGCCCACTACCACTGAGAAAAAAGGCTGAAGAGGACACTTCATAACAGCCTCTTCATTACCCCAGACCACAATATGCCTCAGATACCACCAGAACACACATTGTAGTGGAGCCTGAAGGACCAGCCAAGAACCAATATTTTTTGGGCCACAGGATGGACAATAGGAGGTTGTGCCTGAGCCAGAGGTGTGGAAGCCAATGGAAAAAAACTTAGAGTGAGCATCAGGGAAAGAACAAAGAAAAGTCTGGAGTTCAGCATTGATTACTGATAACTGTATACAGTGTTCCTTTAGCCTGTAACCATTCTCACTCTTCAGCTCAGTGACAACAATCCCTGAACCCCAAATTGAATCATGCTACAAGAAAAGGTCATCCTTGACGTTAAGCGCCTCTAGAAACATTCAGAGAGATGATCCTACCTTCTAAACGGAAGTAACGTAAAAGCCAGAACAAATACAAGGGCAAACAATATAGCTGTCCACAGAAGGGCAACACGGCGCAGGGTGCGCCTCTAGCTGCAATGGCAGTGCAAGACAGATTGCCAGACATGCACCCAGGATGAAACAAGTAGCACAAACCCACCCAGCTTACGGCGTAGGCCAAGCAGCGGCTCCCTGGGGTCAACACGTTCAGTTAACAGCAGAATCCTCAAAGAAACTGGATACAGGATACGCAACAGCGCAGGCTGCACGAGAGCCTATACTGCACAGGGGCATGAACAGGATGATGATCCGCAATGTGCGCTCCAGAGGTGATAGCGAAAAACAAAATATAGAAGGGGTGGCGAGATATGGGGAAAGGAATCGTGGATGTGGGTAGGAAATGGGACGTTCAGCGTCAGGAGAAAGGGAATGAAGAGAAAGCGAGGAGGAAAAACAAGTAATGATGGTAGGCAAGTCCAGAGAGCAGTCATCCAGCCGAGGAGAAAGTAGCTAGGATTGTACGTGTCATCCAGGTTGGGGCCGGCCGCTGGAGATCCTCTCTCACCTCAGTGATTTCTACCCGTCACCGCCGCCATCACGCACCTTGCAAGGTGACGACGACTACACTCCAGAAACACAATAAATCTCCCACTGTAGCCTCCATGATCGCCAGCACCTGCACTCACACTCCAACACAAACTTGCTCCCTCACACGAGATGTGCCTGGTGAAATCTTGGGACATTAAACATGTTAAGTACTATGTATGGTATACATGTAAAAAAAAAAAATATGCACAGTTGAATTTACAAGGTAACAGCAGTTATCCTACCTCGGATCATTTCAAAGCTAAGACCAGCTATCTGTGGTATACTAACGCCTCCCTCCCCCGGATGCGACCCATAACAGTAACATCCAGGTACCTACTTACTGCTAGGGGCACAGGTATAAGGAAACCTGCCCAACGTTTCTACTCGTGCCGGGGATCGAACCACGAACCCCTCAGTATGCGAGATAAGAGTGCTACCAGCCGAGGAAATATGACGTCCTTTTAATACTGTGAAAAATACAACTTTGGTAACTTTGCCCAGTCACTGCCTGCACACACCTAAGATATGTTTCCTGGCCAGACGATACCTACCCACCTTCACCTACCAAGGTACCACCCTCCCTCCCTCCCTCCCTCCCATCCTTTCAATCAAGAGGATCTACAGCCTACTCTGTACCACTGGCTTGTCTACATCCCAACCTGATGGTCCACTAAAAGTCTCCATCCTAACTGTCCCGCCACACTAACTTCAGCGCAGCTGCCAAATGGATGCCACTCAAACAGTATGCTCCACCCCTCCTTCCCCTCAATCCCCATACACGTTTAACAAGTATATACAAGTGGGACATCATCTTCACAAGCATCTCTTAAAAACGATACCCGTCCCTCTCTCATTAAATCATATTCCCTGAGTTTATTCTGTCGCTTGTCCCCAGACACAGCTGGGACTTAACTATCTGAAGTGAACAAGTTGTCTAACCACAAGTACTAACACTTAACAGCCCACAGGTTAAGTTATCGTGCACTAGCAAACTGGCTATTTTTGTTACAAGTTTCTACGAACTCAAGATTTACAGGTTTGTTCACTAAGCGGGATGTATGGAGAAGCAGACTACACTGTCTAGACGCTGGTGTTACCTTAGGTGATAACAGTACTCACTTCATGGAAACGTCAAAGTGCCACATCTGACACTTAGAAATATTCCTTTTTTTTTAATGTTAAAGAAAAACGTATACCAGACTGATCATGAAAATGTGTGTAATGTCTGCCTTCTTGCAAGCTCTCTCTAACAAGGACTGACGACACGGTCCCCCAAGACTCGTATCGTCTCAAGTCTCACAAGTGGTTTGTACAACACTGTCAGAGAAAAATTGTAAACGGTAGTAAATATCAATTACAAATTACGTGATTGTTGGTCATGGGTATGCTTATTAACCATAAGTTAGCTATCCCTGAATTTCCCCACCCAGTATTGTGGCCACGTGACTTGGGGGTTAATTACAGAAACAAGTATCACCAGAGGATCTGGCTGCAGAGATTCGTATCCACGATTCGTTTTAAGGCCTCTCAAATCCGTTGTTAACTGCCAGGTAACGTTGGGAAACAGTGTGGGACTCAAGAGATGGCTACCAGCGTCCTTCCTCTAGTTCACTGGAGGACCGCTAGGTCTATCTAATTTTCCCTACTCATTTCTATCTAATGTAAACATATTAAAGCCTAAAACTGCATATTTTAATTCTATTATTAGTTCTAACACTTTAATTCTAATTAAACCCTGTAATCTACCAAATTATTGTAAACATATCAATAATAATGTGCTGACTCGTGATTTCGCTACTCGTTTTGCTGGCATAGGTACTAAAACATCTATGGTTTTATTTACAATGGTCCCAATTGGATTTATTTGAGCTTAATAAATTCCCACACTGGTATACTAAGAATAAATTCCCAATCCCACTGCATACATTTTACTGCAGTCACATGTTATCAGTTCAGATCATTCTCCTTTCCATGAAGCGTGGCTGGGACCAGGATTTTTTGTTGCCAGTTTAACTAAACTGAGGATAACGAAAAGTCTTAACATATTTCGAAAAAAAAATTATGACTATTTTAAGACGGTGTAACAGATGGCAAATAACTTTCAGTTACATATAATTTTGACAAATCCCGCGAGTGTGTGTCCGGTGTGACGGACAGTAAACTACCAGACCGGGAGGAGACTGGACAGCAAGTCGAACCTCGAGGCACAATGTTGTGGCTAGTAAAGCAGGCCTATAAGAAAGTTTATTTAGTCACAGGTACACACAAGTAGTCATATATGGTGTAGATTACCGAGGATAACCCAAAGAAGCCAAAGTGACTTATTTCCCTTCTTAAGCATACGAAGCTTCTTTATTTAAAAATATATATAAAAAAAACCGCTATGATGTAGCCCAAATTGCTTTGTATAACTCAGGAGAGCAAAGTAACTAAGAATTAATATTACTTAAAGTCGAGGGTAAAGCCAAGAAAAACAAAATATCAGGAACAATCAGTCTTTTGTGAATACGGAGAAGAGGCACTGGGGGGATGGGGGGGGGGTGAACCAGTACAAGTTCTTACTAGAACCCAACTGGTGGTTCTACTACAATATTGCAGTGTAAATATTTGAAATCCAAATTTTATGGCATTGATCCTATTCCTTATATTCTTATTAAGATCATTTTCATACATATTTGAAACACTTACGTTTCACAGTAAAACTTTTTATTTGACATTTAAACTTTCAATATTCCCAGTAACCTTCACTTAAGTTTTAAAACTATGCTTCCAATAATTTAAAACTATCTGCTACACAAATATTTTACATAAATAGCCTGACACTTAAATAATTTAATTGTAAAATTGTAATTTCAGTTTTGAAAATACAATAATATA